GGAGTCCTACAATAGGAGGAAACATGTTTTCCATGGTGGTCTACCTTCAATTGATTCATAATCTGAACTATTGAAATATTCAAAATTAATTTAATGTATTTACATGTCACTTATCTTTTCATACAACCACACCAATTTTCAGTGATATTATTCAAACTACTTATTCAACGATTAAGTAGTAGTATTATATCAAGTTTAAAAAATACCATAAATAAATGGTAACTTTGAGATCTATTTATGAACCAATACTGTGCTTATATTTTTTATTGTATAATCGCTAAACAAGTAAACTACTAATATCCATGTCTCTCTTATTATAAGCTTTATTTTGACCTATAGACTATTATTATACGATTTACCATTCTTGAGTTATCCCTAGTTTATTAATTACAATCTCTCACATTCACAGCTACAGTTGGCTAACTCTTGTACAAATGTTATTTTCTATTTTATTGATACGATGTGGTAAATTTGTTTGGTATATAAACTCAGTATGTTTGAAATATAATGATTCATATTGCAGAGGCTGTCGTTGATGTTCTGGACTTAACCGGCTGGTCTATGCAGATAGCAGGACCGATCAATACTCTAGACTGCTCATACGGTTTCCGTGTATCATTGGTCCGATCGATAATTCGCTGCTCTTTAATTGGCGGTACTTTATACAATAATAGGGCATCCACTCGACCACAAGTTACAATACATCCCTACATATTGATAGATCTAAACGCAACATTTTTAATCCTATACTTATTTCAAACTATAATTTAAGTTTAAGGTGACGGCTAGTGGTCTATCGGTTAAGTGCTCTGGCGCGAGACTGATAGGTCCTATGTTCTCGCTAGACGGAATCGTGGATGCGCACTGCTGAGGAGTCGCACAATAAGACGAAACGGCCGTCCAGTGATTCCAGATTTTACATGGTGGTCTAGCTTCAATTGACTAATGATCTTAACTATATATAATTTAAGTATTCAAAGTTAGTCCAACATAGAATATTTCATATGGAATTCATTTCTTGAATATTTGGTTTATTGATATGTAGTTGAATAGAAACTTTCAAACTTGAAAATAGATTTATTGAAATATGGTTGAAACAGTTAGCATACCCATGTCAAGCATTGAATTTATTTACTCTTCAAGAAGGTTCAAAATAACAGTTCAGACTTTCTGGATTAGGCTTATAGTGTGTTGTATGCTACTAATGTCGATAGATATAGGTAGTAGTATGTATCACCAATAATTTTTTTCTGTTTAGCGTTCTTTTAGGGAGTTGGTTTTCTACGGGATGGGGTCGCTAACCCCATGACCAACCCTCCTCCTTTACCAGGGTTTGAGACCAGCAGTAGCCCCCGAAGGAGCTACAGGTGGAGAAATAGAGACAGACATGAGAAGAATGAACAAAAACTGGATAGAACTAGAAAAGAAGTCCCAGGACAGAGTGGGTTGGACAATGCTGGTCGGCGGTCTATGCTCCATTGGGAGTAACAGGCGTAAGGAAGTAAGTGAGTGATGTATCATCAATCAAAAGTGAAATGTCTGGCGGCAGAAGGTCAACATGATCTAAAAGAAGAAAACAAGTACAGAGAGCAATCGGTGTGGGAACGAAGGCACAATTCAGTTTGAGACAATTGATGGATAGTTTACAAATGAAGTATTGTGGTGTGGTCTACTTATATCCATATAAGTAGTATATGGTGTGGGTCAGACATAGAATGTATTTTGGCAGAAGACCGATGAGGAAAGATCTGAAATGAAACGCAAACGTCTGGAAAATGCATGAGCAATGGAATAAGAGAAGAAACAGTGAAGATTGAAACAATTGGTTGTTAATTTGCAAATTGACTGTTCATTGTTTGGTAATCAGAATTTATTGAGATAGTCTGTAATCTTCGCTTAAATACATTCGATTGTCCCTAACCAGTGTTCTGTTCACTACAGTATTACTGTATGATTCCCATATTTTATCAAGATATTCTGTAATTTTGAGCTCAAATACATTTGATTGTCCCTAATTGTGTTCTCATTCACTACAATAGAAAAATGATTTAATTCATTCTACCAATCATAATGAAGATGATATGAATTAAAATATGAAGAATTTCGAGATGGTGGAGAAGATTTGTAGCTCAGGTGGGTGGGTGATTTTGATGGAGTTTTGTTCTCTGAGCTCGATGGTTTAGTCGTGGAGCTTTCATCGTCTTTCTGAACGACATCATCAGCACAAACTTCGGGTAGAGGTGAAATGTTGGAATTTCTCGACATGTGATTCACTGCTTGATGTTGATTGGTTCTTGTTGACTTTAAATCTGTCATTGTTTATTTCTTTGTTTTGGTTGTATCTTCTATTGGTTTGATTTTTGTTCCTATGTTTCTGCATCGGGTTGCACAAGACAAGCTGTGAATCACATGTGGAGAAATTCAAACATTTCACTTCCACCTGAAGTTTGTGCTGATGATGTTATTCAGTAAGACGATGAAATCTCTACGACCAAACCATCCAGCTCAGAGTACAAAACTCCATCACAAATTGATCATGATCTATGTAATGATCTTATTTCGAAAAATAAAATGTCCTGGATCTATTTGATTATGTGTTTTCAGTTAACTGATTATCGGTAAGTACCTATAACTGATCTTCTTAACAGCTTACTGTGAGAAAGGACAAATCAGATTTTAGCTAGAGAGGAAATTAGGAAAAGACGAAGAAAATGGATTGGACATTCATTAATTGTAATCACCAGACTGCATTACGATGCAAGCACTAACTTGGAATCCTGAAGGGAAACGGAAAAGAGGAAGACCAAAGAACACACTGAACTGAGAATCGGAAACAGATAATTATAGGATGAATAGTAACTAGAAATAACGGGAAAGTATTGTTCAGGACAGAGTTGGATAAAGAATGCTTGTGGACGGCCAATACCACTCCACGAGGGGAAACAGGCGTAAGTAAGTAAAAGATTAAACAAATATGATATCAATCATCACTAATAAATCAATCATTTATGTAATTGACGTGTGTTGTAGACTATGCATCGTTTATTGATCCTTAACGTCAAGTGAAGTGGGTACTTTATCAATGTATACTGTCACCAAAATGATTTCATTAGTTTAAATAAAGACAGAACAAATATTGATGC